TTACAACACGCCAATCCGAGTGCCAAGGGTCAGGGAATGAGTGGGGAGCGAAATTTCAACTCAGATTAACATTATGACAACTCCAGACATTGGCCAAATAAAGTCGAATTAATTCTCTGTAATGAGAGGGGGGACAGGACGTCCTCTTAAAGCGGTGGGATTGATCACCAGTCACAAAAACACAGTTCACTTGCATAAATTGTGTGTGTGTGTGTGTGTGCATGTGTGTGTCTATATGATATATATATATATATATATATATATATATATATATATATATATATATATACAGTATATATATATATATATATATATATATATATATATATATATATAGCTGTGGGAGTGCAAGTGTGCAAAAGTGTTTATAATGTGAGATTAAGGTGCACCCAACCACTAGGCTGACCTTAACTTAATGCAGAATATAAAATGATGATAGACTAAATAATTATTTATTTTCTCGCTGTTGTTTTGTATTTTTCCCCTTAATGGCACAATGTCGGTTTGCAATAAAATATTAATTAATACTCATGGGAAAGCTGCTTACATTAATACACCAATATTGTTTCAGAGGTGCAGCAAATGTTGTAAGTTTAAGCATGCATGATATATTCACAATGACCACAAATAAAGCGCACGCAATGTGTTGCTACATCAGTTCTTTAAATGACATTAATTACACCGGAGTGCTATTTGGCAAGGGAAATATATCTAAATTTCTGTTAAATGTCGAGTGCCTTCTAATTAGCTATCGTGTAATTAAAAGTTCATTTATTCCTCCGGCATATCAAATGAGTAGGGTTCACGTCATTTTCAGCCTTTTTTTAAGCATTGTGTTAGGCTCGTGACGCTTCTGGTTGTAGTTCGGAATTCAATTTGACAGCTCTGTTTGACGAATATCTTCGGATTAACTTGTGACAAGTTGCCTATAAAATCGCCAAAAAAAATAAATAGGCTATAGTGGGTCGGTAGGTTTGTCAGCATTGCACTAGCAATCTTACCTGTTCACAAGGCAACATTTCGACTTGACGAATCGGTGCGGTTGTGTGTTTGTTTCCCCCCTCGTTTTCTTTTCTTTTGTGTGTGTGTGTTTGTTTGTGTGTGCAAAAGACTCGAAATGAATAGAGGGACATTGTCTCAAACGGCGAGGAATCCGACGCTCTGTGTGGTTGCAGTCCGAGGTGAGATTTCAGTGTCTATTTAGCGTTTAACTGTGTATCAAATCTGATCGCTCTCCCTCTAAGGCCCCCTGTGTAGTCGTGATGTAGTTCTTATCAAAGCCCTCCTGTCTTGTTGTGACAGCTCTGATATTGTTTATTGAGGTGGATGTCAGGTTTAATTAGCAATCGATATGGAAAGCGTTTTCAGACTACGTCTCTGACGTCAGCGCCGATTAACGCTTCTCATTGGTCTCAAATTCCCAGAGCCTAAGCTAATTATTGGAAGCTTCGTGTTGATAAAGAACAGCTCATCCTACTCTCCACATCATGTCCCCTCCTCGCTGGCCACTCTCGCTGCATGTTTTTTAAATTCACATCACCAACCACCAGACGTCGTTTCCTTTTGCCTGGGAGATGATGGACAGCAGGATACTGGATCCACCTCATGCCCAGTTCGGAGGCTCGCTCGGTGGGATGGTGGGCTTCCCGTACCATCTAAGCCACCATCATGTGTACGAATTAGCCGGTCATCAACTTCAATCCACGGCCGCGGTTCCTTTCTCAATAGACGGATTACTTAACGGCTCGTGCGCGGCTTCTGTGGTGAATTCTAACCATCTCTTGTCGTCTGGCTGCGGAATGAATGGAGATAACCAACAGTACAAACTGACAGGTAAGCAAACAGACACTTGTCCTAAACTGGCATGAGGGACTTTGCTGGAAGAAGGAAAGCGTGTTTTTGTCATGTTGTAAAACAAAGATTTTTTTCTTCTTCTCCCCTACGTTAAAGCTTTGAAGAATAACCCAGGGAAACAAAACAAAGGGTTCTCTCATCATGCTAGTTTATTGGAACTAAGGCAGACTGACTTTAATAAGGAAGAGAGGCTAATATAAAATATTCTACAAAATTATTGACAACATGTAGGCTACTTCCCTCTCTCCGTATTATTTTCTTGCTATTGTTGCTTTGCCGAGAAAAGAAGGCTTTCTTTTTTTCTCGCTATTCTTTCTCACACATTAATGCAGAAAAATAAACACTCCGAATAATTTTAGTGGGCCCACTGTTTTGGTGGACAGAACTGTGCAAGTTACAAGCGATGCTAATCTATTATTTCTCACTTAGATTCGGGGGATCCAGAGAAGGATAGCCCGGGTTGTAAAAGAAGACGAACTCGTACCAATTTCACTGGATGGCAGCTGGAAGAATTAGAGAAGGCTTTTAATGAAAGTCACTATCCAGATGTGTTCATGAGGGAAGCACTTGCTCTGAGATTGGATTTGATAGAATCGAGGGTGCAGGTAAATACACTGAATTTATTTTTCATGTCTTGTGTGCCCTAATGAAACGTTATGAAAATCAAAAGATGTAAACACATAGGCCTACGTTTTTGAAATAACCCTGTTTTTTTTTTCTACTTTGGTAGCTAATCTTTCTCTCTATTAAATGTTTTTGTACAAAACACGGAATGTCTTAATTTTGAAAATGCTTCTGTTTTCAAATTGCCTTCATTAATGCCAAGGAACTTTTTTAAAAAAAGTTTAAATTATTTTAAAACACGGCAAGTGTTTGTGGACGAAATAGTCTTTTGTTGTTGTTTTATAATGTATTTCGAAGACTATAGAGTAGGCCTCATTGTTAGCAGAAATAAATAAATCAAGAGACCGACTCAAACAATTAAATAAAATCATTCAAAAATGTATTTTTATTATTCTCTTTTACCTAAAGCCCAAACTCGGGTAATATGCTATGTTTTTTGATATAGGTTGAAACGATAGGCTACATGACTGATTGTTCACAATTCTTCTAAAATATGACTAAATTTAATGTGATGGATGTTTGTGATCAGAAGACATTGGTCTGTTCAAATTTCGCAACGCAAGATAGCCTGTTAGGCGTACGTTTGTTATCATTATTTTGGTCTGAAATAATCTAATTTGGCCTATTTATCAAAACTCCTTGCCTAAAATGTATGGAGCGTAATTCGTACCTCGTAGCCTATATGTTTTAGGCTGCGGCCTACTTTTAGAATAGCATTCACGATGGTATATTTTCACACTATTATAAAACTGTGTTGTTTGGATAAGTGCGTTTTATTTTCATTTTATAGACCTATTTTTAATTTTCGATTTATTACAACATTCTATTACCATGCAACGCACAATTTAGCAAAATGTTTTCTATTTTTAGTAGCCTATTTCATAAACAACAAAAAAGAAAATAATTTTCTATAACACAATATGTAACTATATAGCATTGCATAAACACGTTATAGCCTACTAATATAGCCTGTGTATATATATATATATATATGTGTGTGTGTGTGTGTGTGTGTGTGTGTGTGTGTGTGTGTGTGTGTGTGTGTGTGGTGTGTATGTGTGTGTGTGTAAGTGTATCGGGTCTATATAGGATAGCCTGTATAAGTGAATATGTAAATTAATCTATTAATTTTTTTAAAAAACTATGTTATCTAGGCTATAAGTCTATTTCATAATTGCAATTATTTTAATGGCATGGAAATTAATGTTTTTTGTTTGTTTGTTTGTTTGTTTTTCATGTTTAGGTATGGTTTCAAAACCGGAGAGCGAAATGGAGAAAAAAGGAGAACACGAAGAAAGGGCCGGGCCGACCAGCACACAACTCTCATCCGACGACCTGCAGTGGCGAGCCAATGGACCCAGAGGAAATTGCTCGGAGAGAACTAGAGAGGATGGAGAAGAAGAAAAGGAAACAAGAAAGAAGGCTTTTAAAGTCCCAGAACAAACTCATTTCCGGGGACTTATTTCACACCCCAGGATCTGACAGTGACAGTGGCTTGTCACAAGTAACGGACAGTGAACAAAGCATTTGCGACGTGGGCCGAAACCAAACGCAACCAAGCTGCGACCAAACTCCACAGAAACTCCAGAACCAAAGAAACGCAGACCAAGACGCGAGTGGATCCGAGCTGGACTCATCCGACAGCGGTCAGCAGTCAAACCTGTGCGCCAACAGCAGGTCTTCCACTCTTCAAAAACTCAATCCCTTTAGCGTGGAAAGCCTTCTGTCGGACTCCAGGCCAAGGCGCAAGCCGCCAATGGACTTCCCACTACCGACACCACGGCCTTTGATAGGGAAAGGACATTTTTTACTGTACCCTATTACACAACCTCTCGGTTTCATTGTTCCACAGACTGCTCTGAAGAGCACAGCACCAGGCCCCGATGCCGAAAATGGCCAGAAAGGGCCAATTACTGACAGTTCATTTGCTGGAAACCTAGGACACAGGAACGGCAAGGACAACAGTGTAAACAACAGCGGCGCGCGAGCAATCAAAGGCCAGGTCAGTCAGTCGGGCAACATGTCGTGTTCACCACAGAGCACTTCACCACAGACTACCATTAACGGTCACTCGACGGGCAGCTGTAACGAAAGATGCCCACAAGACATAGAGTTAGACCTTGTCGATCCAAAGTCTCCACAGTCGGAAAAAAAGGAGCAGTCGTTACCTGACTATCCACCACAAAATTCAGAATCAGCGACAGCCAACAAGGACACCGACAAAGACTCAGTCGACGTCGATATGGAATAAATGAAATCATAATAGAAACTGAGGAGTGTGTCGATATCGCACGACACTTCTCCGCAGATTAAACGAAGAGGAAAAAAGTCGGCATATCGAAACGTATCGTTTTCATTGACATATTTATATTCTGATTAGGGGAAATATCTGTGTGAATAATTTGTGTATGTGGTGGGCTATCAAAATGTTTATTTAACAAATAGCAGCAGCTCCCTGTGTAAGAAACTGTAAACAAAAAAACAAACAAACAAAAAAAAAACACCAAGACAAAACCTCAAACGTTGTACAAAGTATTAAGATATTTATATATGTAAGTTTTTCATAAATAAATCGATTGTATACAACAAACTTAAGCGTGTATGGCCCTAAATAGAGCTTATATTGTGGGCTGGAGCTCCTTCTCCCAAACCCTGTGTTGTATTTGTGTATTGCTTTAACAAATTTATTCATCTATAAGCTACACTGAAATGAGGTTACGAGCCGGAGGCGAAAAGACCCGTTCGACTCCTGCAGAGTTTTGATATGAAAGTAATTATTTTCCCGGTGGCTACTGCAGGGATTCAGTTTATTTTAGCCCAAAGGGTTATAATACATTACCGATTTCTAGTGATATGAAATCACATAAACTTCCAAGAATAATAGAATTAGCATGAAAGGCTGGGGTGTCAAATTGAAATACGAAAATAATAGCCCCGGCAGCTGGGAGTGTGTTTGTGCATATTGGATAGGAGATGGGAATTCGTGGGGCGGAATTTTCATGAGCTTTTCACTTTGTCAGGGCCCTTGTAGCTGGCTATATTAAGATAGATGTTCGATGATATCCCTCATTGTTCTGTCGCTTATATTGATGTTCCTGTGTTATCAGCCTATTGATCATGCGTCGGCTGTAATAGGACGGGCGAAGCAAACGTGCCTATTTACAATAGCAGAACACATTTGTTCTAATAGGGTTGGCGGTCCCATGGGACGCTGTGGGGGCTCCCAGACATCTGCGCCTTGACAATATTAGCACTGTTGACCAGATCTAAAGGCGAGGTAAGAAAAGAAGGCAATAAAAGGATACGATCATTTTTAATGATAAATGTAGCCTATAACTGCACGGTAGCTAAATACCAATAATGAATTAGCATTTTCATTTTCTAAGGTGTTTAATTTTGTTCATACGGGCGTGTTCATTGTCTTCTTCTCAAACATCCTCTGGTCGCCTCACTTGCACCGGTCTTGATTTGCAAATAAATTGAAAATAATCAGTGAGGCTGGCGCAAATGAATTTCTGAGCCAGTGTCTCTTTCATAATATTTACATAATTTTCACCAGAGACAGATTTAAGACTTGGCATATGGCGTCCAGGGCAAATAGACTAGCCTACACAACGGTGGGCAAGATAAGAGCCGAAAATATGTCAGAACAATCAATAAGAGCATATTTTCAAATGATGATGTCCCAGAGCTGCCAGCAGCCTATATACAAAAACAATAATTAGCCTATTTTTTTTCCTAATACACAAGTCATATTGGGTCTTTGAAGACATCATCCCCCATCTCAATGTCAACCGAATAAAATAGCTATCTCTATTTCAGTCAGTGAACTGCCTTTTGTATACCATAAAAAAAGGAAAGTGTTAGTTGTCTGGAGGTGTCCTTCAATTTGCTGCTGTTTTTCTTTCCTATTGGGACGCGTTCATGTTTAATTCATTTGCAATCTGAATAGGAGTATCGCTGGCTGCACACTGGTGGCCTTAAGGTGAAATTAGCGATTTGCTTAAGTAGTTAAGCTTTTGCCTGAAAGCAGCGCGCTGTATGATTCAGGACAAACTATCAATCGATATGGCCCAGGCAGCCTCCAGGAGATGTGTCCTCCATGAATCATACTTTATGAATTCAATTTCTACCCGGAGAAATTTTCAATTTGAACGCTGGATCATTATGGGAGAGTGTAAATTGTTTTTGCTCTATTATGCATCGGACGCCATCATTTTTCTTTCTAATTACGGAGGTGTCAGGTCGGGCTGTCATGCAGGCGCTGATTTTCAATTTAACTGATCATCATGCATTCATTTTCCCATTTGATAAATCTGCTATCTCGACGCCGCGCCATGCCTGGAATGTTAAGAGAGAGGGAGAGAGAGAGAGAGAGAGAGAGAGAGAGAGAGAGAGAGAGAGAGAGAGAGAGAGAGAGAGAGAGAGAGAGAGAGAGAGCAGCAAAGTAATGTGTGTGTGTGAGTGTGTGTGTGTGTGTGTGTGTGCAGCAATAAGTGCAGATCAGGCAGCTAATTTAGCACCTCCTGATATTCCATCTCCATTTCTCATTTTCAACTCTCTGAGGAGAGAAAAGCAGCCCAAAGGCAGAAAGCTGGTATTCAACAACATCAGGGGTAAAACGACTCGGAAAACGCTTGTTTTCCTCAACACATTTTCCAAATTAGGATATCAAGCTTAATTAATGCTAATTGAGTTCCTCAATACGTGTTATTTTTATTTAATAGAATCAAATTCGCGCAATTAATTATGAAGGTGATTTCAAGAGCCTCATTTGCAACACCCAGTCTTAACCCCTCCCTGAGTGCTTTGTAGCTTTTTTTGTCGTATTATATTTAGCTAAACTCATAGAGCGCCTCATATACCTTGAGGACAGGTGCAAGACCAACCGAATAGTGATTATATTCTGCTTCTCGACACTGTTTTAACATGGCTGGAGAAATATAGCTTTCCATATCAAGGAATTCTTGAAGGAATTAAACATCTCAAAACTAACTGCAAGTCTAACAATTAGCCTACAGTTTGATTGTGATTAACCCGAAAATTGGGTGTAGTTAACTTAGTTAATTGACAATATTCTTTGACAATGCAATATTCACATTTACCTGGTTCGTGTATCATGACAAACGAATATATATTTTATTCCGAATTGCATATTTGGACTATAACATATATAGCTTATATTTTTTTCTCGGGGATTGACATCTCGAAAAGAGGGTGAATTAGAGAAACTCCATCGTACGGTGTTAAAAAAATCGATTGTGGACCAGATCCTTTTGTCAAAAGGCAATATTTTTGATTGCAAAAGACACAAAAAAAATCTATAGGCAGCCGTACACAGAATGATAGTTAAATTAGGCCTACATATATAGGCCTTAACAACATTTAGAAAGCTCGTCTTTATTTATTAATTAAATTCACTAACACAAAGTAATAACATATCCAATTATTTACACCTTACATGATTTAATCAATTTCGGGATCGTGAATAAACAATGCACATGTCAGTTATGCTCCCCGCCCCCCCATCCCGCGTTTGCATGGCAGAGATAAGAGCGTTGAAGTCCGCCGGTGAATTAATGGGCATACGCTGTAAAGTAATCCTAAAATGCATGGCAGAGTAGCTGCAGGATATAAGAGCCAAATGTCAAGTACCGTTTTAAGTGATTGTGAGAAAGATCTAAGAGGCACTGCTTTTCTTTGGCTACCAATGGTAGACTCCTCTGTCCCTGCAATCACTTCAACACTCCTTCTTATTGAAATAAGATTGAACTTTGATTCAATCGCCCCTTTATAATATGAGGGATTATCGATTTTTGTCCCGAGCTTGAAACAAAAATGCTAATTTACAAAGAATTGGGAAGTTTCAATGAGTTAATTAAATAACTCTATTTGAGGGCAATTAAAAGAGTGCAAAAGCATTAACTCATAATGCATTTTGAATTTAGAATGGGCAATTGTAGTATCAAGTTAAGCAATGCAATCAACAAATTATTAAAAATGTAATCCATACAGTTCCACATATTAGCATGTTTTTATAGTTTAATAATTTAATAATTCTATCATTTATATTATCATCACAGGCTTAATCTGAAAATGCACTCCTCAGTAAAAAGGCGTAGCATGAGGAAAACTAACAAAGCAAACATTTTTCATTAAAAACAGTCTCACTATCATGGACCTCCTTCACAACAGTATCACATGTATTACCATTTGAAAGAAAGTTTTTTTTTTTTTTTCTTACATATTCTTGACCCGCTGTAAGTCAGTATGATAAACATGACCCAAATGTTAACACTAACTCCCCTGGTCATTGTGGTTATTAAAAATCTAACAGCCTGTGACTGCTGCTTTGCACTTCTTTTCTAATTATCACCTTTTGAGATGTGTTTCATTACCTACATTTCATCTGATAAACCACTGAATTCTGGCCAAAAGAGAATTTGTTGGTACATGACAACAATCTCAACAAGAGATTTGTGAATATGTGGAACTAGCAGTAGCAGGACATCTTTCATGGCTCTCAATGACCTCAGGCTCCAACAAATGATCCATTATACTAAAATGTTAGTATTGAAAATAAAGCTAGGTTACTAAAACTATAGGCTAATTGTTTGAACAAATATGAAATTGTCGTCAAAATATTTTACTACTCATGCATGACGCAAAATCATAATGAAAACAAAATAATTTACAGTGTGATGTCGATTTATGGTTTCAACTCTTATTCAACCGCCTAAAATGTTTGTATTAACGCAGAACCGCTATTGGCAAAATATTTTTTCCTCGTTTTAAAATGCAGACTGATAATGTCACACAACAAAAGAAAGGCAATTAGTACTTCATTAAGTAAAAAAAGTGAACAAAACAACTGAAGCTTTATTCCTTTTGTAAAAATTTTCTTTATGATGTAAATGTTATATGCTAATAAGTATATATATAAACATGCATTATGAGTTGTGTCCTATTCACTGCGCTTAATAAAACTATATATATTTATAACATGTAACAATGGGGCAATGAGGCATCCACAAAATGTAGGCCTTGACAGTAGTACGATACAAATATAGTCATAATGTGCTTCACTGTGAACTGACACTTGCAGTTCATTCTCACTTGAAAGCTAATTCATTATCAATTAGAAGTGAAAATGGAGATGGGTGGGAAGGATCCTCGAGAGCCTGGCACCTGTATGATCCTCACCTGCGCTGATGTGCCACAGTGATAGCTAAAGCTCTCGCTGGTGATTTAGAAGGCTCTGTGTAAACAAGCGTTTCACTCCCCTGTCTTCCCAGGGACTCCAGACCCTAGAGGTTAATGAAGCGTGAAGTGTGAAAACTTCCTGAGATGGGATGAGTTAAATAGTGTTTCCAGATGTTAAGGCAACACTGTCCAAATCTATTTGTAAGTGTCGACCCTTTACGGGTCACAAATAACTCTAGTTATGTGAGAGACAAATAAGCTCCCCTTTGACCATTTACCAATCCAGCTGTTTCTTTAAAAAAATATATAGCTATAGGGT